GGGGGGGGGGGGGTAGAGCATACATTGAGTTTATGAAGAGGGGGGTAGGGTTAGACAGTGAATTTATAAAGAAGGAATGGGTGGGATGGATATGAAGAAGGTAAGAATAGTGGAGGTGGGAAAGGATACGATGTTAGGACAAACAAAGGAAGGAGGAGTAAAGAGATGGGGTAGATGGAGAGGACAATATGAGGGGAATGGAGGGGGTGGGGGGGAGTAAGAAAATATATTAAGGGCAAGGTAAGGACTATAATTTTACCAAAAGGGGATGGTTCATTTGATGTACCGAACCGTTTTGCCTTATGTAATGTGTACCGTACAGCAATTGCTTTAGCTGCTTGAAAGACGGCCCAGTGCTTTAAATAAATAGGAGTTTATATTGTGAGGAAGGTTCAAGTGTTGTTTATAGAGCAGTATACAACTGTTGCATGTTTGAATCGAAAATTAGTTATAAGGAATAAATATTTTCAGCATACAAAGAATATATTTTTAAAGGTTCAAGGGCTGAAAGGGTTGAATTCAATACAAATACAGAGAGTAGAAGATATTTACAGGAAATGCAGAGACAAATTCATAGAATTAGGTTAAACTGAAAATTAAGAATAAGCTTAATTAATCATCTTGGGGGAAACTTTCGGAACCTTTCAACTTTTTATTGTGAGTTGCCTTGGTAATTTACCCTAAGCAACTGTTATATAGTAGATTTAATTTTACACATTTACACCCACAGTATACGATAAACGATGCAACGTTGCAAATTATAGCCTCGGGATTCAGCCCATTATTCATGCAAATATTTTAAATTAGTGTAAAAACTACTGAAATATCAGAATATTGAAACTTTTGGTGTAAGCAAACTATTATGTAGACTTGTATACTCTGTAGAGCTAGCAAGCTATATGGGAACTCATGGTAATTAATTAGTTTTCTAAATTTGTTGTTTAATTGTAAAAATGTTGGGGAGAGGGGTCGAGTTTGATTATGTTATTTCTCCAAGGTTTGACATATCATTGGGTTTTCAGGACTCATATATGACAGATCATCCAGGTTTAATGAGGATATTGCAGAGGGGTTATTGAGGGAACAGG